TTTTTTTTTTTTTTTTTTTTTAGAAAAAAGAAAGTCTAAAAAGGTAAAAAGAGTGGGACACGTCATCATGTAGCATTAGCTGGACAAAGCTGTTTCCAATTTCTTGTCATTTCTCCCAAAATGATTCTTATTCTCATCAATTTTAGCATTACCTTAATTTAAAAAATAAATAAAATTAAAGAAATAAATCGAAATTTTAAAATAATAAAAATAAATTATAATTATAATATTTGAAATTATAGGACCAAAATTCATAATTTAACCGGATAAGTATTATAGTTAGACGACCAAATAAGAATATATATTTTATATGGGTTGAAAATATATTTATATTAAACGAGACGAGGACGGGGATATAATCCCGCCTCCGGCCCCATTTCTTACATTCACCCTCGAAACGACGAATTCCCTTCCAATTCAGGACAGATTGCCACGTGTAAAATGAACGTCTTTGAGCCAAAGCTCAACTAATTAGTGACGAGAGAGATGAAAAATTAAACAAAAGGTGCACGTGCATTTACTGTGACCATGCTCACCTGGCATTATCGTAAATAATACCAAATCCATGCCCATTTGGTCTAGTGTTCCTCACGCGGAAGAGAGGCCCCCGCTTGGTTTGAAATTAATTATTAAAATCCCTTTTTATTTATTAAAAAAAAAAGGTAAATGATAAAAGAAAAAAAAACATTTATTTTAAAAATATTTAATATTACATTTAAAGTTGCAAAAATATTCTTAAATTATAAATTATAAGATTAAAAATAATATTTATAACCCAATATTTTTTATTAGATTAAAAATAATATTGTGATATTATATTTGTATTTAAAAAGAGTTCAAATTAATCTCTATTGTCAATTATTTATTTATTTATTAGTTTTAAAAACACGTTCACATTCTATTTTTTTACATAAAAAAATATTATTATTATTTGAAAAAAATTTAAATAAAAATTATGTAAACTAATTTTAAAATTAATTAAAAAGAGAATAAAACTAAAATCATAGCTTAACCATTTTATAATTTAGCCCAAAAAGGAAAATCGATGCTGCCACGTGTCATAATATCATTCGTCTGCGGCTTCTATATATATATATATAACCTTCGCACCACCCAATCAGCATCCCTATTCCTCGATAGGGTTTCACAAGCCTTAAATGCTCAACAATTTCTCTTTTTTCTTCTCTCTCGGTGGTGATTGTTCTTCATTTCTCTTTCTCTATGCCCTTTTCTGGTTGGGTCATCGGCGGTCTCTAATTCGCTTGGTGCAGGTCGGGAACTGCTTCGCTTCTTGATTTTGTGCTCTTAAATTTCCTCTGCTGTAAGAGGAAATAATCGCGCGAATTGGATCCCGCCTTGCATCAACTGAATCCGAGACCGCGATGAAGATTGCATGGATCTTGCTTCTTTTTCCGGATGCAGATTCTTCCAGGTTTGGATGTTTTCGTTCTTGTAATTTACTATTTTAAGATCTGGAAGAATCGCTCATAGGAGCTAGTTCGTTATCGAAGCTCGAAGGTTTGAATTCGCTTGAGCGGTCTGGATTTTATTGATCTTTGCGCGTGATGTTGTTTGTGTTAATGCGTATTTAGAATAGTTAATTGATTTGTACGAGTATACTTGATTACCTCGTTGAAGGTTTCTGTGTGTTTTTTACTGTTGATTTGGCGGAATCTGTTTATGTTATAGCTTGATGATGTCTCTGTTCGGACTTCGGTGACGGTTCTTCTCGCCTTCTTTGATTTGAAAATTAAATGGTAATGGAAGGAACTAAAAGTGCTTTTTGTCAATGTGAACAAATCATGGTTTGTGCAGTGCGATTACTGTGGTCCACGTTTGCGTCATTGGCTTCCTTGATTATTCTGTTATGCAATTGTTCTATGGATTCACAATGCGTTTCGAGTAAAATTCCATTAACAATGAATCACTTTTGTTGTTTCTCGTTTTACTACTTATATTTATATTTTTTTAATTTCTGTACTCCCTCCTGTTGCTTTTAGCATCTTCTTTATAGAAGTACTTCGCAGTCTGGCACCACACCGTCGTCGAATCTTTTAGTGCTCTTTTCCGACCGAGCTCAGAGGGTACTTTTTATTCTCTATATGTAGTAACTTTTTTTTTTGGGCATCTTTCTCAAGATGCTTATCCACTATTATTCTAATTGCAAAGTTCGTAGTTACCCGTTACTCCCTTTGATGGCCATTTTAGTAAACCGTCGAGGCCATTTTCTTTTCAGAATACTTGGCTTGGAATCTATCTGTTGATTGCACAGAGTCCTAATTTCTGTTTACGCTTTTTATTCATCTTTTTCTTAGTCGTTGTTAACCTGTTTGCTCATCTTGGGAAGAGTAATTCATTATAACTCGATTGTTATATGGAAAATATAAATTCTTTTTTTTTCCTTTTCACCAATGAACGGGTTTGCTTGAATTTTGTAGATCTTGTTTTTTCCGTCGGATTTTGTGCACAATCCTCCCCTTGCATTTAGTATTGTAAGCTTTTCTAACAACCTTCTGAACTCGACAATAGGAAATGGTGGAAACTAACCAAGGTAAGTCAGCTTTTTTCCTCTGTTTACGGCATGTGAAGTTGTTATATTTGTTAACAAATTCTGTTCATTTCTTGGAAGGTTTTGGGTAATAATGGAACCAAATGGCTCTCTGTTGCAAAAGCTGTTATTTTGATTATGCTGTGGAATGCCACCCATGCCTCCTGTGTATATATATATATATAATAATATTGTTACTACTTACACGCCTTTGGTCGGTCTTATTTCAGAAGTAAATATTAGAAAATAGCTGTAATGACATATATAGATGAAAAGGAAATCTTATTAAAGTTTTGTTCTGTTTCCTCGAACCTATTAAAAGCTTAGTAAGAACTGTTTGTTTTTCTTTACTTCATGTGAAAACAAACCTGAGTTGTTGAATTATTTTTTCGTATTTCTTGAAATTTGGCTACGAACCCTTTTCTGGAAGAAAACAAAAAACGAAATAATTGGAGATATTCTCTTCTACAGTAGCCAACTATTGCACGAGCACACACGGTGTGGCTTGATCGAACACAGGACCATGGGTGTAGGCCTGGGCTTGGGCCCTTGGACGAGCTTTGTACAGATTGGAAGATGGGCCATGGCTCTTCGACGAGGTATGTACAGTTTGAATGCCACTGGTAAGGGATGTTTCATTGGTTTAGTTTGGTTGCTTTTATTTTATTTTTATGAAATATTTGAAACCAATCCCTTGATACATTATAATTGAACTAAACCAGTTTGGTTCAACATTAGAAAGCCAAACAGAATCAAACCAGTGGCGAATTAAACCACTTTAATCGTATTCAATTCTTTTTTCTAATGACGTTAGCCTTGCTTGATTCCTTTTGGACATAAATTTAGTTTGGAGATCAATATCTTTGTTCATGTAGGCCCTCTTTTTTTCCATACTCTTTCAGGGTCGATCAAATTTAAGATGAGTATTAATGCTTTTGTGTTTTGTTCGTATGGTTTAGGGACTAAAGTATTAGTATCTTACTTTAGTTGCACTCTTTTTTGTTTCATGCTTTATGACCACACTTATTAAAAAAAAAGAAACTATATTTGAACCTAACTATTAGTAACTTGATTATTTCGAGATAGAAATAACGCTCGTATGGAGCTGCCATCTACACCATAATATATGAAGTTTTTTGAAAAAACTTGCTAGGGAAGGAAACCATCCCTTGACAAAACTTTGTATTGTTTTGTTAATTTATTGCTTGGTGGCAGAAGAAAATTGGCTTAATCAGAACTGATATGTCGATTTAGATTTAACATATCAGGTCAAGGTCTCGCAGAAGGAGGCGAAGGTGAGAATTATGTTCTCTATCCCTATCTCGACCTCTCTATATATATTCTCACTTCTCTATTATTTTTTATAATATTTTTGTTTTTTTTCCCCTGAAAAAATATAGATAAATAGAAGAATATGGAAGGCATGTGGAGGAAAAAGTGGAAATGGGCAGCCCACTTTGTTTTGTTTTGTTTTGTAGCATTAAAACAAATGGGTAATGAATGAATGAATGAAAATGAAAAGCTTCTAAAAGCCAAGTCCTTTGATCATTCATCTTCACAATGCCATTGCCTTTTCTTCAACCATTTCCTTTTCTTTTCTTCTTCCTTGTGTTTGTTTTCTTTGGTGAGAGGCCCTCAATCGGAATTAGATGTACGTGAATCGCTATTAAAACGTTAACATTATCAAGCTAGAATCAGTGGTGTTTGTGGGTTCGATGTAAAATTTTAGCTAAATTAATAAAATTACTCACGTTGTATTTTGTTTCAAAAATGCACTTTTAAAAAGTTTCAATAGTACTCTTAAACTAAACAAAAAAAACTTTAAATACTCCTACCATTAGTTTTAGACGAAATCGATAATATTTTGTTTAAAAAATATCTTAAAAGTTTAAAAACTTTAAATACTCTTACGATTAGTTTTAGATGAAATCTGATAATATTTTGTTTAAAAAATATCTTAAAATATAATAACTTTCACTAATATTTTTTGGCTTTTAAAAAAAATTTAAATGTTTAAACACATATTTTAAAGTATAAGGACCAAAGTTGAGTTAATCTAAAATTCAATGACCAATACAATAATTAAACTTTATTGTTGTTGTTATTATTATTATTATTATTTGTATATTTTTAGATGCATTATAAAAAAAATTAAATAAATAAATTTGTGATTACATTATTAATTAAATCAATTAATAAATGAAACATTCCATCAATGGAAGGCAATAAATACATTACTTAATAAGCCTTGTTTAGACTTCTTATGATTGGTGATAGTCATTTTACCGTTCATTAATTTCATTCCAGTTTTTATTTTTAAAATTTAAAATTTTTTAAACTTTAATTTTCTTTATTCTTTTAATTCAAATTTCTAATAGGAATCAATGGCTTGTTTCGTAATTTCACAATCTCATATCAAAAATAAATTTATTTCAGTTAGAACATCACATCTCCTTTAATTTGTATATCCCAAATTCATAATTAATTTGGAATCTCTTCTCCGTCCGTGTTTTATCTAATAATTAAATTATCAGTAATTTAGTTAATAAATTTTATTTAAGGAGATTTTTTAAATTTAAAAAGTTTAAAGAGTATTAATAAAAATTTTAAAAAATTAAGAGTGTTTTTGAAATTTTGAAAATTTTAAGAATATTATTGAAAATTTTAAAATAATTTATTTTTATAAAGTATTAATTTATAAATATTTATTTTTTTTTTAAGAAATAAAAGGAATAAGAAACTGCCAAAAAAATTCCAATAAGCGGGCTCGGGGCGCGTAAATTATTTTTGCGGGCCCCACTTTAAATCCAACTAGACTTCCAAGTGCCACATACAAAGCGCGTGAATTACAAACGCGTAGCCCCACTTTGATTTGCCTCAATGGACGGCCAAGATGCAGTTTTGGCGCGTGACCTCACGTGCCTAAAACCGTACGTAACGTTCACGTCCATTCCACGCAGTTCCTTTCTCTCTCTAAATAGTCACCCTTCTTCATCCTCTCCTTCTTAACCCTCTCTGGTCTAAAACTCATCCGCCATTTTCACTGTTCCGAAGCTCTGTAATGGCAGTGCATTTCTTCGCTCAGGGCTCCGAGGAGCTTCTGGTGTCGTGGCTTTTGAGGTTGAGTTTGTAGTGATGTTCTGCTTCAGCTCCGCCGTGAAACGCCGCTGTGAAATCGGCCTTTCGGATTCAGGTTGCTTGGTTTCACTTTTGCATTTTATCTAAATTGCGCTAGATCCTAGAGATGGTTGATTCGAGGATTTTTATCTCTGGTTTATCGCTTCTGTTTTCTGTAAAACTTCACGATTCACTAGGATTGTTTTGTTTTTTGTTTTCTACACTGCCTTGTTTGCGTGTCGCATTGTTCATGAATAGTTTGTCATCAGCTACAGCAATCGGAGAGATATTGGTGAGGAAATGATGTTTGTGGTTTGTTTGAAGTTCTACGGTACTGTGAGTGTATTGAAGTTCGTGATCTTTCTCGGCGCCCAAGCTTTGTGTGCGTGCCTTTTCCGGTTTAGCTCCTTAAGTTTCCTAAATGCAACTTTCGAGAACTGGTTTTTCAATTGTTTTTCTTTGAATCATGATGTTAAAGTCCATTTTCTACCAGTTTCTCTGGACCCAAAAGATTCATATAATCCTTTCCCCCCTTTTCCCTTTATCTTTCTTTTACTTTTTCATTCTATTGACTTTTTCGTTTTCCTGTTCTTATTATTTTAAAAGCAAATCAAATGCTAATCATGCTTTATATAGCTGAAACACCAACGGAAGTTTAATGCAGGTTTGATTGAATTAAAGCTTCTACGCTATTCTTCGTATATACATTTTTTCTTCAAAACGGTCATCTCGTTTCATGATTTCATCAAATTACTCTATCTGAAAGGACTAATTCTTGATATATAATCATGTAGTGGGCGCGTGTTCGTCGATCTGTTTGTTACGTTGTTTGCTGCAAGCCTCAAGTGATACTGATAGATTGTAATTTCCATAACCCAAAGTTGGCAAAGAAGATAACAAGATGATGTCGATGCGGAGAACACTGGCTTGCTGCACAAGGGACCGAGGGATCAGCCTGGACATGGACGAACAAGAGAGTAAGCCTTTAGCTCTCCTTTACTCTTTTGCGCACCAGTACCATTTGGCTTTAAAAGCATCGAAATCAATCTTTATTGCTACTTTTGGCCTAAGCTAGATTATAGTATCACGTTAAAAAGCTTCTCAAGTAACTTTATTCTTGATTGATACAAATCTCACTGTTATATGATTCAAAAAGTTAGTACCATGGTTTTGAATTTGAAAAATTAGGAATAAATCCGCATATCACTGTGGCATTTTTTTTATTCAATCATGGTTTGACCAGCTATATCAGTTTGAAATATGCTCACTGTGTCCACATGATACGGAGGACTTTTTTTATTCAAATTTATTTATTGCAAAGAAAGGCTATGGGCGAATTTGAAAAGAAATGGGGCGATGGTAGGCCAGGTGGAGGGTAAAGAACGTGTTTGTTAGGGTTTGGTAAAGAAATTAAGAGGGCTCGAGGGAAACGATGGGTCCAGGGGGTTGGATCATGTGAAAAGGGTTAGTGGGTGTGGTAGGCAGATATTACTACCGAGTGTTCCCGTCTCTTATTAGCCCTACCAGACCCATTGGTTTGCCCCGTGCAAATTCTGGTGCCTTCATTTATGATTCTGAACGCAGTATTTATTGTACTGGAGGACATCAAAACCCGTAAATGTGCTGGGTTTCTGGTTCTGTGCATAGAATGTTGGGAGGCTGTTTTTTTTTTTCTTTTTTTCCTTTTGATTTGATTTTTTCTAGATTAACCTTCAACCTTTGAAAAAAATGTCTTATTAAACTAAATTTGAATTAGCCTCTTGATTTGAACCTCAACATTTATCATTTGTTCAAATATATTCTTTTTTTTTTTCAAAAGTTGCAATATTATTTTTTTGGATCTTTTAAGTAAACATTTCAAAACCACAATTGTAATAGAAATTGATTAGAATGTTGGACGGAAAATCGACGTGGCGATTGTCTAAAACTGAGTGACAGTGACTAAGATGCTTGTCTAGATTAAATTTTCAAAAGCATCAACTTTCCATTCTATATTGTAAAAGTCTTCCTACTCCAAGGTTAGTTTTGAAACATTTATGGTATGGAAGGTTGAAGGACAATATTGCAAAGTTTTAAATAATAAGAGTATTTTTGAAAATGGACAAAGTTCAATGGTATTTTTGAGGTATTGGACATTCATTAGCTTGGACGGGTTTTAGATACTTATTGGATTGACATGAGATTTAGAGCGTCAATAAGCGTCTGGTTCATTGTTTTTTAAATTTCGTACATGTTTAGAAAATGTGAGAGATATGATAGGGTATTCTCAGGGCATCTATGGGACATTTTAGCGTGGTACAAGCTGAAAAAGAACTGATAGTTCATTATTTATTCTTAATTGTACTTTTTTCTTTTCAGAAAATTGTCGAGCCTTTTCTATTAGTCTCCTATTTTTTCTTTTTCTTAAAAGAATGTTTTTGTTTTCGAATCCATGGTTCTTTTGAGCATTTATTACATATAAATCGTGCTAAAAGATTTAAATCTTTTAGTTCTGCTATAGATTCTAAGTGACCCCCTCCAGGCTCTGTTACAAATATAATAAACATTGTTCCATGTGACTTTGTTGGTGCCAAGCACATGGGTGATGTGTCCGGGCGAGAACTCCGTGACTTCAGATTTCCTGGGTTTCCAATTTAATCAGCTTTCAACGGATGCCCTCAAATCTCGGCCTAGATTATAATTTGAATAGAATATATTATTTATTAAACAGCGTTGCGTTTGGGACTAAATCTTTTTGGAAATTTCATTGCCTTACTCAAGGGACATGTTGAAGCGGGTGGTACATTTCCAAAGTAATTTAGTAAATATAGCTCAGGTAGACAAAGAAAATAGAAGTGGGGACATGATACAGTTGAGAAAAGTCTGGCTGTACGACTAGTGGATCTTGGGCAATTGATTTAAAATTTTACGGATCATTGAGCTTCCAACATGCCAGACGAAAAGGACAAATTCATCCCACTAATTTCCGTTGCTTTCATCATCCTCTCCCCATATTTTGGTTTTGTTTTTATTTTTGGGTGAATACCATCCAAACATATACCTTCAGGCAAATATCCAAATTGCCAGAAAAGACAAGACTGACTTTGTGTTGTGCTTCAGCCAGTTGGCTCTGGAGGAGTTCTGGATGTCTTCTTCTTTCTTGGAAGCAGTATGCTAGTATTTATCTGATTTTGGTCCAAACAACAATAATTGCAGAAGTTTCTGCTTTCGTTTGGGCTGTCTATTTTCAGATACAAGTGAACCCCATCGCGATCGATATAAACAGTTAAACTTTGTCAATCATGTTTGTTCTTTAGCTTGTGTAAATGGTATGAAATAATTGCAAGCAATTATAACTCCAAATTATTTAAAAAAGAATAGCCTTTTGCATTTTCATGTGCTTGTTGTACGTGTACCTGTTCAACAAATAGTTAAAAAAATTTGGATAATGACGAGCACAAGCAATTAAAATCATACTGCTTTGATGTTTAAGATCAAGTGCCTTTATCTTTTATCTTTTTAATAAATTACTCGATTTCTTGTTTGCTTAAACGTAAGCCAACCTAAAGTTATCATTAACGAATAATTTTTCCGTGGAATTCA